TTAACACGTTGATGGACAGTTGATTTAATTATTTTTCAAAAACACCACCCTTAAAACGTCACTTTTCATTACTGCTATAGCAGTAATATTTTTAGTACTGCTATAGCAGTACTGACCCCCGACATCACATTTTTGATTACAAAATTACTGCTATACCAGTATTACATTTTATTGGTTAATTATTTTATTGTTATTATGTTGAAAGCTACGATTTATTTTAAGGAATGCATAAAAAGATAGGGAAGTTATTTTTATTTAATGAAATGAAACAAAATGCAATACAAAAACTTTATTATATTATTGAAAAATTATACTTATACAATACATAGATCATTATTTTAAACTTATTTTTTATTAATGAATTAATTTTAACTTTATATTCATCCTTCTGGTTGAGCAGCATGGTAATCTTTAAAACATAGTGGACACAGAGGTACTTTACATTTTTGACATTGAATGGAAGTTTGTTTTCTGGTTTTTTGTTTATAACACTGTACACAATTTTTAAATTTTTTTCGTCTTTTATAATTTGGTGGTAACTGTATAGGTTCTTCGAAATGACCTTCTCTCGAATCTTCACCTCGGCTTGATTTTCTTGAATTTTTTTTTAATTGAAAAAATTCAGTTGCTGTAGTATTTTTTGGAATTTTAATTAAATCTTTAATAAGTAAGTCTCTATATACTTTGAACCTGAAATCTGGACGGTCAAAATGTTGTTTGTATATATAAAAACTATTCCAAACAGCGACGTCTAACAGATGAAAAATAACTTTCTTGTACCACTTTGCAGATTTCCGAGGACAAGAATAATAAGAGATCATTTGATCGGCGCGATCTACTCCACTCATAAACTCATTATACTTGGCAATTTCAATAAGTTTTGGTTTTTCTTGGCCATATTTATTTTTAGAGACTATCATTTTTGGTTGATAATTGGTTGTTATGCATAAGACATCCCTCTTATCTTTCCATTTAGAAACATACACCTTATTTTGACGTTTCCAAATATGATCACCTCTTTTCAATTTTTTTTGAACATATTTTGGATTACCCCTTCGGTTACTTCGCAATGTGCCAGTGGTGTGGGTTTTGTGATTTAAAAGTAAATTCGAAAGGTTAACACTGTTATAGTAATTGTCCATAATCAAGTGATGGCCCTTATTTAAATAAAATGCCATAAGCCTTAGAACTAAATTGTCAATTTTTGAAGTAAGCGCCCCACTTGAAAATTGTTTTCCCTTATACATTTCTATATTTAAAACGTAACCATCTGGAGAACAAAGCTCATAGAATTTAATGCCATACTTCGCTTTTTTTCCTTTGATATACTGTCGAAAACCTAATCTTCCACGGTGGAGAAGC